GTCACATTTAAAATGTAATGTGAACGTTCACACAAAAAGATCGGATTTTTTCAAAAAATCTGAACTGAGCATTAAGACCTGCAGTGTGAACGTAGCCCAACACTGGTGATTCCATACTTTTTGCTAGGGGTTGTAGCATTGGTCGATCGTGTTGTTTATGATTTAGCAGGTTGAAACTAAACACAAAATGGTCCAAACACGCTCAGTCATAAAGACTTCATGTAGAAGAACTCATATTGACAATAATTTATCACCAGAAACGATCTAAAAATGCATATAACTTACTATTGCTGTGTGTATAGTATGGTATTGTGCCTACAGGCAGCGTGTCTCGCGGCTAATGTTTATTAGCATACATACACTCGTCATATTTACTATGGCCAATATACACTCGCAGAGTATATTTTACCGCAATATAGACTAACGGATATATATTCTTTCGTCTCAAACACTCACACCTCAGAATGACGCACACACAAGATCAATAATAGGACTTACTCTTTTCTTGGCCAGCTTGGCAACTGTGGCTTCTCTGCGGTGTTTTGATGTGCTGGTAGTGTCTTAGGCTGTGGATTTTCTTTTAAAAATTGTAGGGATAGCAGTCGGTTTTAAAACTCTTGCATTTCACTTTCAAGCCAAAAGATTCCTGTAAGCCTGAAGACTCCTCAAAACAGTCTGCAGTGAAATGATCGCTACACAGTACAGAAGATGGAGTGGGAAGCCACCTATCCCTCGTTCTCTGTGTTTGCTTCATCCATTGTTTACAAAGGTTTTCATCCTTTGGGAAAGAAAACAAGCTTACTTGTTCACTGGGGTATTTGAAACACCCAGCTGCRACACAACATTTTGGCATAATTGAGTCAGACTACAAAAATACGGCTATCTTGAAGACAAACTAACAGCTTCCTAATAGCGGCAGCAGATAGGAATTTCACCCCCATGAYGTCAATGGTGTTGCGCCGCCGGATGTCCCGTACTGAAACACAGCGCCAAGTTTGAAATCACTTCTAAACCAGATTGCTTTTAATTAGCATTTTGCTTGTAAAATGCAATTATATGAATGATATAACATATATATGTAATGACTTTTTCTGCATAGTTCCAACATTGTGTCACAATCACTTTAAGGGGCTAAGTGTCAAACACACTTTGCTCTGAGCAGAAGAATCCATGTTTCTCAACACAAAGGTTAGTCTAATTGCTGTCTGCTGCAGGTAACACTCTGATTGCTTATCAGCATCCACATCACACAAACCCCCTTAAAAACACAAYCCTTTAAAGTTTAGCCTTACCAAAGTCCTTTTGGCAGTACTGTCTCTGGCGTTGCCTTCTACCTTTAACTTGCTGACATTTCCCACAGTGTCCTGAGTGATAAACCAAGAACTGAATTAATAAGGATAAATGAGATAAAACAAGTCTTATCATATGTTTATTACTGTCTTTCTGAATGACTTTCTACATGCAGCATGTTTATTAGAAATTGTAGATCTAATCTAATAATCAGATGATTTGATGAAAGTGTGAATGAGTGTATTCTTGAGTCTTGAGACTGTATAGTCTGAGGTCAATGCTTTGGTGAACCTACTTCCAGGTGGGACCTGAGGGAGGAGGTTTCTATGGTTTTCCTCCCGCCCCAGACGAGCGGTGGGCTGGCGAGGATGCTGGTGGTGGGTGTGGGGAGGAGTTTGGCGTGGAGTCTTTAAAAGTTTCAAAACTAGAAGATAAAAACAAACACATTTTTCAGTAAAGGGTTGAACATTTTCAAYGCAAATGTTGTTTTGGTTAGAGCAAAAACTAAATGTAATTAATGCAATGATGAATATTTAAAATCAAAAGTATGATCAAACTGTTGTGTTATTTGGCAAATTCCAATTAAACAGGTTCTTCACGTTTTTGAAGAGGGCTCAACATTGGAAGCTTTCTGGTTGTGTTTCAAATKATGATGATCATAGTAAACTCACTCTTACCTGATCCAGCTTTACAAATAATCACATAAAATTTCACCTTTCCGCTCCACACTTCTGGTAATAATTTGAGATCAGTTCTGTTTTACAAACATCCACCAGCTGGGAACGATTTTCTGAGAGGTTACTTAAATTTACTGCCTTACTGGATGCAGTCTGCCTGAAAGCACAAGTCGTCAGGCTGTGCGTAGAGTTTATTGTGAATGAGAATATTAAAGATGTTACTCCCAAATTATCAAAAAGAGATCCATTAGAATAATTCCACAGCTGCTGCCAGGAGGTCAGCATATGTACAACTTCAAAACAAAGGTGGATTGTTTGAGATGCACCATCTGCTGTAACCACCACAGATATTTTCATTTATCTGCTTTATACTGTTACAGAAAGCATCAGTTGGTTGTTTCAGAAGAGCTGTCTCAAAATAAATAAATAAATAAATAAATAAATAAATAAATAAATAAATAAATAAATAAATAAACACTAGTAAGCCTCTCTACATCACTTCAGCTGAAACTTGAGACAAACTCACAAGACATAACTTAAAAGAGTAAAAGTTGTGTATGACAGCCTGCTTACAGGAATTACAAATATGGCTCTTTAGAAAATGACAGATGTGATGACTGAAGCTGAGAGTGAGTCTTACACCAGTGGGGTTTGGGGGTGTTTGGAGGAGGCCGGGTGGTGGTGGTGGTGGTGGTGGTGGTGGTGGTGACTGTGGTTGTTGTTGTCAGATGGTTCCAGGGGAAGTAGCTGGCAGACTGGTGAGCCTGTCTCAGTGGGCTCCTCCTCCCATGGTAGAGGTCATACTGGTCTGGTGGAAGCCAGTACTCGTACTCGATTCCTGAGTTTCTGTCTGTCGCCAGAACCTGGAAACAAGAAGAGCTCAGAWACATGCAGGCTGTTCTCAGTAGCTTTCCAGTCTCTTTTTTTTTTATCTTTGCTTCAAAACTTTACGCATTCGCATTTTCTGCCCAGGCAGGGTTTAAAAAATGAATTCTGTTTGACAGAAGCAGCTGATTTAAAATAAATGTCAGAGGGCTTGGTCTGTACAGTGAACACCACACATATCTTCATAAAAGCCCAGCAACATCTTTACTTTCTGAGAATGTTGAGGAGGAAAAAGCTTCTCCCAGCTCTGCTAAAAAAACTTTTACTGTTGCATCAGACATATGGGTGCACAGTGAGTCATGCCAGCTGCAGCCCAGCAGAGAAAACGCTGCTTCAGGGAGTAATTAATTTTTTGCAGTATAGGGGGTTGAGTCAAATTACAATGTTTTCCTACAGGCCCCTTCAGAAGTTAACAAAGATCATTGATATCCAGTTTGGAGCAAAGTGGATCATGTATATGTGATTTAGAGCCCACCGTATCGATATGACACCTGACTTTGCCACACCATCACGGCCACACCTTCAAGTGAAAAGTCTTGGTGTTTGAAACCAAGTCTGACCAACTTATTATCTGTGTTCTGACACAATTTCATGTTGATTGGGTCAAGCTGGTCAGAGATGGACCTTTCCAAGCAAAATAAGGTCTGTCCCTGTCCTTAGGGGTCGGGGCTACGGTGATGTCAGCATATGACCACATGGTATCGTCGGGCATCCCACATGGACGAMTCTTCGTGAGTTTAGTGTAATTCAACCTTTCTATGTAAAACCTATAGTGTTTCAAAAATGTTGGCGAGAAACCAAATTTAAGGACTGGCCTCRCCCCTAAACACACTTGAACATTCACGATTTTGATAACTTTTAATCTCTTATGTCTTAACAGTGTACCAAATTTGAACAAGTTTGAAGCCGATAGGTTGAAATCTCTAGGAGGAGTTCATTAAAGTTCGACAAACTGGAAAATTGACCATTGACCCACAATGGCCGACTTCCAGTTCATTTTAGGGCATACGTCCAAGAGGATCTTTTTCTTGTTTTGGGGAGATCTACCTACAGTATGTACTGAATTACAGCTCTCTGGGATGAACCAGGTCCCCTATCACAAGTTTGGGACCCCTGTGGAGACTTTTGGCCTCGCTCATTGAAAATTAAAATGAAATACTAGAATTTTCATCGGGGGACATCTTTGTATAAAGTTTGGTGAGTTTTAGAATGTTAAATCCTCCAAACTGACACATTTTGAGGCAGAAGAAGTTTAACAATAAGAAACATTACAGACACAATAGGCCTTTGCWGCGCTGTCGCTGCTYGGGCCTAATAAAACATGCCACTGGTTAGTGATATTGGAGCAGGCTGTGTCTTTAGTAAGTTGTACCATTAGATGTAGGTCTTCCTGGGTAGGTCCTGGCACCTCAAAGCTTTCCCAGGTGTCTGCAGAGCGCTTGTACAGCAGCTTGGTCCCAGCTACACTGTACTCACCAGGAACGTTGATTTTCCAGTTCCCATTGATCACAAACTGGGAGCGACCATTCTGCAGAGCTGAACAAGAAGAACAAAGTGAAAGAAAAGGTAGGAAAGTTTAGTGTTATAGGAATGATGAAAGTGAGATCGTTCTTAAGAGACAAGTGATAAAAAATTTTATGTAAAAAGTCTAAAGCTACAGAGGAAGATCAGATGTATGTCAGAGGCTAATAAAGGCAACTGGAGGGATTTTCCATGACATGAGATGAAAACAAGCACCTTCCACCTGCCCTGCCCCTGTGTCAGATATGGTTTTTATGAGCATCCATTTCCAAACCACAGTGTGTGCCATTTTAGKACTGGTTTTATTTAGGACACATAGACAAGGATGAGAATTGATACCCTTAGCGATTATGTTGCTCTGGAAAAAAAAACACACTGGGTCAAGAAACCAGATGGGACTGCTGAGCCCCTCCCTAGTCTCTGGGGAGAGAATGTAATAGTGTAAGTGTGTGTGTCTGTGTGTGTGTGTGTGTGTGTGAGAGAGAGAGAGAGAGAGAGAGAGAGAGAGAGAGAGA